AAAAAGGGGGTGGCAGCCCCCCCCCCCCGCCTCTCCTCTCTTGATTCTCAACACCAAGCTATCTATATTTACTACCTATTTCGGTACTGGTACGGTTGCTACGGTACAGAAGACCTGGTTTTGTACCGTTGGAACGGCGAGAACTGCTGTTCCGTACCACTGTACCATTGGTACGGTTGCTACGGTTGTGCTGTTTCCGAACGCTGACTACAAACATAACGCGAGGGTTAGTAAGTCCTGATGGTCCTCGTCTTTTTGGTTAAAACATACTAGTCTGTAAAGAGACTATCTATATTGGTGATGTAGTGGAGTAGCTACGTTTTATCTCCATATGTACGTAGGAGCGAAATTGACTCTCTACATTGACGACAAAGGGACAATAACGGATGGAGGAAAGACTCATGAAGCTACATTCGATAGTTCCAGCCTGAATAGATCAAACGTTCAGTTGATATTTTGTCGTGGAAGACAACTTCTGGAGATCATTCACCTCAAAGATTTCCTGGGGCTCCCGTCGCAAGAAATTGGGCTACCTTCTTTCTCTCAGAAGTTTCAGGAAATCGGGACCCGTGGAATCACCGGTGATTTCTCTCCTCGTGCATTAAATAAACGTGGTTATCTTTTATCCACTTCCGGATAGTACTGCCACTGCGTGGAAGTAATGACTCTAACTCACTACAGTGATGGATTATTAGAGTTCGGAACAGAGGACTTTTGACTTGTCGGAAGCTGATATGGTCGCGTATCATGCACGTTAGTCGTACCGTACGAAATTGGTTTCTTGCCATGAATTTCGAGGATGACCGAAAGGGTCATTACAATACCCTCTCCAACGAGGCTTTGCCGATATTATCTGGCACAAGCCGCACAGCCGTCCTCTTCGACGCCTCAAACATGGCATCCCGTGTCGGATAGCCTTTGACCAGGTCCTTGATCTGGTCATCCAACGAGCAAAACAGGAGGGCGAGACTCGACGATTTCCACATCGGATACCTGGACGCCGCCCTGTAATAGCACCAGAAGGACAACCAGAACAGCAACGTGAATCCCGATATCATAGTTAAAAACGAGAGCCACTTCCAGCGCACATCTATACACGTCTCCAAGACTTGTGCCATCCCACGTATAGGGACAGGATACTCCGAGCCCGGAGAGCTCATGTTTTTGTTGCCCGTGTTTCTGATCGTCGCTGTAAGCACGTCGGCTAAATCACCAAAATAGGCGTTGAGGGAGTCGATGCTCGTGGAATCGTTGTTCCAGAGCTTCCGCGCCACAGTCGAACCAGCCAGAGCACTAACAGCCCAGGTCATATATTGCCCTCCTAATGGTTCCGCCAGATTTGCTACAAGATCATCCACGATCGAAATGGACCACAGGCAATCCTCGGGGAGAAAGTTGGTGGACGGGTCAACTGCACAGTCTTCCCAGACACCATCGCGCAGAGTACGCTTCGCGGCGAGTTCAAAGTCGCCTGGTGCGGTACCGCTCCATGGAATCCGTGTCGTGGTGATGAGTTCCTCGGTGAGTACGGCATTCTTTATTGAGGAATTGTATTCCTTGACACACGGGTATAACTCACAATCAAATGCGACCGGCTTGCTTTTTCCACGGCCGCTGGCCTTAAGCACCTTCAAGTGGAACGTGTCATTTGGTCCCCCTCCATAAGCAGTAGTATTTAAGGGATAAAGTCGGTCGTCAGCCCAAAGATACGTTTGGTTCCTTTGATCAACTAACATATGGTTGTAGAAATAAATTTCTGGGTGGTCAAGCGTGGTAGGGTCGCGAAATGTCTGGATTTCACCAGAGATATCCTCACACGTGTGGCATATCCCCAGCGTTTCAAATCTCGGAAAGGTGCAATTGTTGGACGGACAGTTCGTGTTGACTAACGAGTGTGTGTTCTTAGGTGGGAAGGTCGTCCCGACTGTGATGGCGACGGCGAGTTCTGGTAAGAACACGCTCGTGCTAGTATGCACGTGCCCCCCTGTTCTATGGTGAATGGTGGCTCTAGACACGGTTGCTGCCATGCTGGGGCTGTCGATTGCACAATCCACGTACTCGACGAGCTGTTGCGGGAAAGGGTCGGCGATGAAGGCTAGGACGGTGATGAAGGCCGCAACCTTTGCAAAGTAACGGATAAAATTTCTGACAAGCAATATCAGTGGGGAGCTGGGTCAACCCTGTGCTGCTCACATACTCTCTTTGCAGCTTCAAAAGCTGGAGGATTGGCCTCCAAGTCCAGGGCTTGAACAAGACGATGCCACTGCCATCGAAAGCGAGTGTGTCTGGCTTGAGAAGGAACTGAAGAGATCCCCACGCGCCTCTACTTGCAGAATCGTAATCTTGAATGTCGAATAATTGCCTTGAGCCGGTACTGACTAACTGCCATTTCAACTGGCTCAACCCTATTCGATTTCACCTACGATGCTCCTTTCAAAGCGGTAATCGCACACTAACCTTCGGAGACTGGCAAAGAGATACCTGCTTTTAAAAGTACCACGAAGACCGCAATCAGAGCATTCACCGAGATTCCCATCGGCCACTGCGGTCGTGGCTTACCCTGAGTCTTCCACAATACAACGCATATTGCGGTAAGCGAGACCAAGACGAGGGCGAGGCAAAAAGTCTCAGGTGCCCACGAGTTGCGCCACCATCGTTCTATGGTACGCCAACAACTTTGAGTGGAAGAGGAAGGGGAGACGGAGGCAACACTGAGGCTTTGCGGAGTAGGACCGGGACTGGTTGAAGGGAGCAGCGGGCAGCCTTCGATGGTCCCTTCATCCGTCGACGGGACAATGTCTGGACCCGCGCTCGGAATAACTTCTTGCGTGGTCGAGGAGGCTGGTGCGGAAATAGAAGGGATGGTTTGGAGTTCGTGTTCGTCTCCCTCCGCGATCGAGGTCGCTTGGGAGAGAGCTTGATGGGCGGCTAATTGAGAAGACATGAGGAAGCCAGTCTTGGAAAGGCTGAAAATTACGTTGTCGATCAGAGAAAGACGAGAGACAAACAGGAGATCGCACCAAGGCAGAAACTCAATCCGAGGACGTGACCTGGAGGTGGTGAGTTACTCTGCCCAGGAACCCAAACAAGGATGTCTTCAGCGTGCGGCTCTTTTTTCGTAGTGGTTAGGGGCATCGCTGATATTGACCACTGCCAACGACTGTGCATACGAGGTGGCTGCATGTGGTCTTGTGCGAGGGTGCACATGGAGGTGTACTTTACCCGCAGCCGGACCAGAGGACCCTGATAGCGCACGCCACTAATACCACTAGTTAGAAATAACAGTACAATCGGCTCAACTTCGGTGCAGCTTGCTCACCCACTTGCTCAGTCTTGTTTTCTTCTGTTCTTACAAACCAATCATGCAGCTCTCTGCTACCCTCGCCTCCCCAGAACGAGAGTGCAGCAACCGTGGCCATAACTATGACCGAGGCGGACTGCGCAGCTGGAAGTGGATATTTAAAAGATGCCAAAAAACTTGAAAAATTCATTTTGAAAAATATTGGAGTGATATGAAGAGAAGAAAGAAAATGGGAATCGCGGAAGGACGATTTTGTTCATTCCTACTTTACAATGTCGTCCCTTGCCTCAAAACTCAGAACAGTCTCTATTTCTTTGGGAAAGAGGTATCCGTGTGGGAAGCAGAGGCTTTTGCGCGCTTCAACTTATCAAGGATCCTCTCCAACTACTCCCGGTCTACCTTGGCCTAGTCCTCCAGTTCACTGACTCTCTTCTCCGGTGGAACCTTTATCCACTTCTCCACGCATCGAATCGAACAGCCATCGGCCAGTGCGGTTGACATACGTGAATGGGGTTGCCCGGAAAGGCGCGCTAGGGGGGTTATTCCGTTCTCGTCGACGGTCATAATCGCAGCACCTGTGTCTAAATGTGAGCTATCGGCATCTTTTCATAATCTTCAGTCTTTTCTCGCTCTTCTTGCTCACTTACATCAATATTGCTGACATCGAAAAACAGCCAGTTTTGAAGCCTTCGCTCCAAAAAACCCTCTTGATTGCGGAGAACGGAGCCATCTTCCGAGACGATCTTTGATGTTCGTTCAGAAATTCATGATGTAGTTGTCTTCAGCTTATTCTGTTGCCTTTCCTTGCTTTTGCTCTCTGGCCAAGTTGTGTTTGGAGAGTGAGTTCGTTGCTAGGTAGTATGAGGATGGGAGCATCTTTGGTATGTAGCTGATCAGAGGATGCAGCTTCATTGCAGAAAAAGGGTCTTCAAAGCGCCTAATCAGGGGGAAAGAGAGGAAGGAGCCAGAAGTTTACTTCAACCTTGTTTTCATGGGTTATAATTCGATTTTCGGACTGGAGTTCATCTTCTGACTGGTTCTCACGTGATATTCAAATGTTATGTTTGGAGCGCCATGGAGAAAGCTGATCCAAGGCTCATTTGAACAAGGTCCTCCAGTCAAATATCTATGACTACCTGGGTACCTACGTATCTAAGGTACTCCTAACTGTGTTTTTGCTTGCTACAATTGCCGCGAGCAAGGTTACTATTCAAAGAATTGTCCCCAGGAGCGGGTACCACCAGAGGCTCAAGACGCCAACAGGCGGGAGATTGAAGCAGCTCGGAGAATGGATAGCTACGTCCAGCAACCATCCATACCCGTGGTAGCAGCAGACCAGACGTCGGCGCAGCTATCAAGCCCCATAGCATCGGCAATTGTCTAAGTATCGCAGATAAAGTCGATTCTGCTACTAGCGAGAATCTTGAAGCAGCCTGACAGCGCAGCCAGAGTGGATGCCAGTATTGAAATTTAAACCCCCCATCGCCGTGGTTGATAAGAAAGGAAATATCACCAAACCAGCGGCTAAGCGCACAATCCGCTCAGACGCGCAAATACGGCAGCGTGAAGCAGAACGAGCCGTGAACAAACTCGTCGAAGCAGAAAATGCTGAAGAACGTAGGGAAGCAGCCGAGAAAGCGTCACGCGACGAGATGGACTTTGAAGTCGGGGAGCATCCAGGTGCTCCCTAGTGCCTAGATACACATTCATGTCCAGCAACAGCATCACTAACCCCGTCGGGCGACTTGCCCTTACAACCATTCTTTTTTCTTTTCAACTTTTTCTCTTCTTCTTGTCCCCCTCTCCAAGCGCTCAATTTGAACCCAACGTTTCCCGCTCCACTCGCTCCGCACGTCAAACAGCGTAGCCTCCGATTAGGCGGACGGACCGCCGCCGAGTCATGCTCCCACTATCAGACCCGCTCGGGACAGGCCATGGGACTCAAGGGCAACAGAAGAACCAACTACTCTATCCTAAGCAGAAGAGACAGGCGGAGAATCGAACGGAGCCAGCAGGAGACAGCTAGACGGGCGAATTGGGCTCTGTGAGTCAAAGAACCATTGGGCCAGGGCCCAGCGGGAGCATCTCGCACAGCATCATGGGTGAGTTTGATGCAAACCCAGAAGGCCACCTGCATCTAACTAGCGAGCTCCGAGTCTTTCATCACTGGCACTATTCATTTTCTCTTCCTGGAGCCCTGGCCCATTCGTAACACAACCTCCACCCCGGCCGAATCGTGGCCTGGCTCACAAAGTCGTGGGAATTCTTGCTGGAGAGAATGACCTGGTGGAGTATCTGGTAGTGGTTGACCTTTTTCTGCGATCTCCACGATGGTGGCCTGGCCCTTTTCCAATGTCTTTGTGGGCAGGGGTTGTCGTGGCCGTCTTTTTTCTTTGAATATGAAGGCTGGGCGGGCTTGGTGGTTAGGATGGGGCACCGAAGAAGTCGAATCTGGTGCAAGTATCCCCGGTTCACTCGCTCCATGTGTGGGGTTCTGGCGGTCGTTGTATTTGGGTCTTGATAGTGCTGCGAAAGACGATGTCAACGTTAATGACCAACCCAGGAGCGCGTTGAGAGATATGGCGGCGAAATTGGACGTAACTAGCGAGATTATGAGCCTCGAGAGGATCTTGAGAGCGGTTGGCAACCCAACCGGCTGCGTCACGGTAGTTGGGCGTGGTGAGAAAGAGCTGTCAAGGCTTGATGATCAATGACAGAGCCTCCATTTTGCTTATCTACCAAAAGGGAGTTGGCGCGTTGGGTAGGATGTGGAAATAGGGGTTCTCCAGAGAGATACCCCCAAGGATGGCCGCTTGAAGGGAAAAGAGTAACTTTGACCAGGAAGGGAGAGGTTTTAGTACTAAGAAAGAAGACTTTGGTTGAACATAGCATCTAGAGTCCACTGTAGAAGGGGGCTAGAAGATAAAAATGAAAAAAATAAAATAAGGGTGGTTATGAGATGAGACTTAGGCCTTGAGCCAAAAGTAGACCCCAGTTAGACCAAAAGTAGGCCCTAGTTGGACCAAAAGTGGGTCTTACCAACTCAGCCTTCTGTTTAAGGCTGCTCAGGGCTGCTCAAGACTCGACTGCTCAGACGCGCTCAGTCTTGGCTCAATCTCAACTCAGGTTAAAGCAGCGACCGCTCAGGAGAAAGGCCATAACTGGAATTAGGGGGGGAAATCTTGTGTCCGACTATTGAGGTACATCCAATTCAGTTCAGCTCCGTTCAGTTCACGAATTTGAGTTTGAATTTGAATTTGGATTTAGGATTTAGGATTTAACAGAAATTCAGGAGAAAGGGGGTTGGTCTTGGCGTTTTCTTTCTTTCTCTGTTCTGTGCTGTGGCAGGGAAGGAGGGGGACAGTGCAGTGAGTGAGGGTTTTTCCATCACCGAAGTCAAGATGTGCAGTAGTAGATAGTAGATACGCATGTGGGTGGGGATGGGGGTCAGGGGAGTGGATTTGGTGTGTGATATGGGCTTTTGTTCGATGCCACCGCTGGGAGGGGTAGGTGGGGGCTGAAGGACCAGGGCATCGGTCTCATAGTCTGGATCAAGCCCATTTCTACCCATACTGATGTGCTAATAGGACAAACGAACGGCCGAACACTATGACCAGTGTATCAATATCAACTCTCCAGACCGTAGCCAGAGGATCTGGAATGCAACCTCCAATTCTCCTACCCAACAAGCACGCTCTTCCCACCGCCAAACCCGCCCTCCTGGCCCTCTAATTTAACCTCCAACACCGCTCCAACACCCTCCCTCACACTCTGCACCGCTTGCGGAAGCAAGTCCAAGAGCTCACTCACATTGCATACTCTTCCTGCCCACAACTTCCCTCCGGCGGCCGCCTTAGCAATCCCCGCATAATCAGGTGAGGGGTCGAACTCGATATTCAACTGCTCATTCGAGGCCTTGGAGCCCTCGCCGTCAGGGTGAACGAGCAACAACGACTTGCGCGGGGCATTCCAGCCCTTATTGTTCAGGACAACGGTCAGGATGGGGAGGCTGTAACGCCGGCTGATCCAGTAGACCGACCCGGGAACGCTGAAGAGGAAGGTCCCGTCCCCGACGATCTGGCACACAAACTTCCCCTTTCCCGTCCCGCCGTTCAGGGTGTCGGAGGCAAGTTTGATCCCGAGAGCGCCGCCGCCGGACCAGCCGAGCCCGCCGCCGCCGCCG